GCATTTCTGAATTTCTGAATTTCTGACTTTATGAAAATCTGAATTTCAGAATTTCTGAATTTCTGAATTTCTGAATTTCTGAATTTCTGAATTTCTGAATTTCTGAATTTCTGAATTTCTGAATTTCTGAATTTCCGAATTTCCGTTTCCTTCAATCAATGATCTGGAAAATTGTTTAAAAAGAAGAAAAATTTAAATTACCGCGAAAATTGAGGAAAATTGAGAAAAATTGGGAAAAAGACGAAGGAATATTGAGAAACAAAGGGAATTGAAATAGAATTGAAAAAACAAGGAATTGAGAAAAATTGGCATTGAGGAAAGTATCGGCTGGGTTTTGAACTTAAATTAAGCATTAAAAAACTGAGTTGGTAAAATTTGTCAAGTTTAGCTTATTGTCAAAAAGAACAATGTGACAATGAGAAGTGAAAAATTTCTGTCGTTCGAAATTCTCAGATACCGAAATACTGAAGTTCTAAAGTTCTGAAATTCTGAGATTTTTAAATTTGGAAATTCTCAGAATCTGAAGTTCTGAAATTCTCAGATTCCGAATTCTGGAATTCTAAGAATTCTGAAGACAATGAAGAAATTTTCTGCCGTAATTATTGAAAATTCAGAAATATTGAGATTCTGAAGTTTTGAAATTTTGAAGTTCCGAAGTTCTGAGATTCTGAGATCTTGAAGTTCTGAAATTCTGAGATTCTGAGATTCTGAGATTCTGAAGTTCCGAAATTTTCAGATTCCTAAATACTGAAATTCCAAAGTTCTGAAATTCTAAAAATTCAGAGATTTTCAAGCTCTGAGATTCAGGAATTCAGAAACCTCGTCAAAAAAATTGTACCCCCGAATCACAAATGTTGTACCCCTAAATGAAATAAGTTGTACCCCAGAATCATTGGTAGATTGTACCCCCGAATCGTGGTACCCCCGAATTTTTTTACCCACGAATTTTGTACCCCCGAATCATTAATTTTGTACCCCTAAATCAGTTGTAACCCCTTGTACCCCCGAATCATTGTAACCCCCGAATTTTTGGCCTCAAAAAGCTGAAAAATTAAAATTATTCTAAAAATTTGGAGTCCAGAGGCCTTGAAAATGTATTTGGCTTAACTTGACAAAATTCTTGACTATTGAGAAATACATGGGTCTCACCTCCGAAATTTCAATTTTTCTAATTTAAATTTTCATCAAACCTTATCATGTCTATACTCATTTTGTAGCTATTGAAAAGGCATATTGAAAAATTATAATTTGAATAAAAAAATCTCAACCCTTTCAGTTCTTCTTCATGGTCTCCTGCGGTCGCTTTTTCGAGGGCAAACACCATAAGATTGGAATGACCAAGGACGAATGGAATGTGACTTCAATTGGACCACCGCCCCTCTATCCCATCTCGGCACCGTCTGAAAAGCAAGAGGCTTGAGAGATAGAGAGATTGTGTTGGAATGAGAGATGCAGTGATAATCAATTAATCTTTTTATTTTCCTTTTTTTCTCAATTTTCCTAAATTTCGTGGCTTTTTTTCTGGCTTTTTCTATCCATTCCTGTCCCAATTTCTCATTTTTTCTTCCTTTCATTTTTTCCGAAAAATGTGTGATCTCTGATGGCTCCCCACCCCCAACTGTGAACTCCAACAATAAATTCTGTTAACAAAAAAGTTTGGTTATTTTGGGTTTGGGAATTCTCAATTACAGAAGTTTCTAACAATTCTGAAGATCTGAAATTCTAAAGATCAGATTTCCAAAGGTCCAACATTCTGGGAAAGTCTGAATTCATCAGAAATCATTTTGAGATTCTGAGATTCTGATATTCTGAGATTCTGAGATTTTGAGATTCTGAGATTCTGAGATTTTGAGATTATGAGATTCTGAGATTCCGAGATTCTGAGATTCCGAGATTCTGAGATTCCGAGATTCCGATATCCTGAGATTCCGAGATTCTGAGATTCTGAGATTCTAAGATTCTGAGATTCTGAGATTCTGAGATTCTGAGATTCTAAGATTCTGAGATTCTGAGATTCTGAGATCCTGAGATTCTGAGATTCTGAGATCCTGAGATTCTGAGATTCTAAGATTCTGAGATTCTGAGATTCTGAGATCCTGAGATTCTGAGATTCTGAGATTCTGAGATTCCGAGATTCTGAGATTCCGAGATTCTGAGATTCCGAGATTCCGATATCCTGAGATTCCGAGATTCTGAGATTCTGAGATTCTAAGATTCTGAGATTCTGAGATTCTGAGATTCTGAGATTCTGAGATTCTAAGATTCTGAGATTCTGAGATTCTGAGATTCTGAAAAAAAAACAGAAAATCTGTAACTAACTTCCAGAAACACAAAAATTCTAAAATTCTGAGTTTCTGAAGTTCTGAATTTCCAAAAAAAACCATTTGTTGCTGTCCAGACAGTTTTTTCTTATCAGTTATGGAGTTACGGGAATTTGTTCAAGAGCAAACAATAGACAATTTTGCTCCAAATGAAAACTTTTTTGTTTTGAAACGATAAAAACAAAAACAAAAATATTTGTTTTTTTATTTCAAGTCTGAGGTGCATGGCTCTAACCGGTACTGTACATAAAGATGAGTTTGTCTCTAATACTTGTCATGGGTGTGTACTTGTTTTCTTTTTCTCTTTGAGTACTATATTTTCCCTTTTTTGGACTCTTTTTTTCAAACTTTTCTTTTTTTAATTATAAAATCCAAAAATAAACTTCCAGGTCCACGATCATCATGCCAGGCGAAGAAGAGAATGGAGATGGTCATGTTCTTCTAGAAATTGAGCAATTTGTAGAGAATCCAGTTGGAGAAGGAGCTGACCAAGAAGATATCGTTGAGGAAATAGAAGAAATGATGAGAAGGATGGAGCGAATGTTGGAGAATGGAATGAATCGGTGAGTCAGAATCTCAAGAATCCTGAAAATCCTAAAAGTTCTAAAAATATCAAAAATTTCAGAATCTGAGGATCCTAGAATCCCAGAATACAGAATCTAGAATTTTTTGAATCTTAGAAACTAGAATACAGGAGCCTGGAAATTTCGGAATCTCGGGAATTCAAAATCTCAGAGTTCGGAATTTCGGAAAAGCTGAATTATCATGATTTCTGTGAGATTTATCTAACATGGAATGACTCCGAAGTGTTACCCTCGAAAAAAATTGAGACCTATATGGTTGGATAGAGCGTAAAAAGATATTATGGATTCCAAACGGAATAGTTGGTAAAAATTGTTTTTGGGAGTTATGGTCCAAATCCCCTTGGACAACTGTCTCTTTTTCGAAAAATTTCCCGCGCTCTCATTATTTCATCTTACACCCTCAAAACCCCATAAACAAGGACACATTTACTAAAACCATCTTAACTAACACCTGTCTTCATTTTTTCAACCCACCTGCGCCTTTAAGTCTCCTCCGCCTTTAAGGTCGTAAAGGCGCAGATGCTAAGAATTTGTTTTCAATATACCCAAGACCTAAAAAGCGCAGATGGTTCATAAATTTTTTAGAGAGGCGCCCGACGTCCGTCGCTTCGACCCACTGGCGCTGGCCGAGGAGAACCATCTGGACGTGTTGAGAATTCAGGAGAGAATTCGAGAATTGGAGAGGAATAGATGGCAAATTGTTGATGATTTAGCAGATGGTGGTCGGATTCTTCAAGAATTGGAAGACGTGGCGAGGGAGGAGGAGGAGGAAGAAGAAGACGTCGACTGGGTGACACCATTAGCAAGAACATACACCAAACCGTTTAGTAAGTGGATATTACTTCATTTTCTCTAGAAGAAGATTCTGGTATTCTTTCTTATTATTATTCTGAGAATTCTAGAGATTTCTGAGATAGATTTCTGAAAAGGAAAAGGAAGAAAAAAAAAAAGAAAGAAATGAAATTGAATTCTGCGGATTTCGTTTCTGTGAAGAATCGGAAAATTTCAAGACATGAAGGTGGGTGGAGAAAATTGAAATTACAATTTTTTTAAAATTTTTTCTTTGATTTGGTCCAGGATTTGCTCCAGAATTTGTTTGAAAATGGAGTTAAAATGGAGAGATTTGGAGGTGTCGAATTTTCTGAAATCTTGAGTTTTTCGAATTTTTTGGATGCCTAAAGTTTTTAGAAGTTTTAGAATTTGGGATTTCAGAAACTTTAGTTTTTTGGAATTCCTAGGGAGGAATTCCTGAAATTCTGAAATTCTGAATTCCTGAATTTATGAATTTCTGAATTTATGAATTTATGAATTTCTGAATTTCTGAATTTCTGAATTTCTGAATTTCTGAATTTCTGAATTTCTGAATTTCTGAATTTCTGAATTTCTGAATTTCTGAATTTCCGAATTTCCGAATTTCTGACTTTCTGAATTTCTGAATTTCTGAATTTCTGAATTTCTGAATTTATGAATTTCTGAATTTCTGAATTTCTGAATTTCTGAATTTCTGAATTTTTGAATTTCTGAATTTCTGAATTTCTGAATTTCTGAATTTCTGAATTTCTGACTTTCTGAATTTCTGAATTTCTGAATTTCTGAATTTCTGAATTTATGAATTTCTGAATTTCTGAATTTCTGAATTTCTGAATTTCTGAATTTTTGAATTTCTGAATTTCTGAATTTCTGAATTTCTGAATTTCTGAATTTCTGAATTTCTGAATTTCTGAATTTTCGAATTTCTGAATTTCTGAATTTTCGAATTTCTGAATTTCTGAATTTCTGAGATTCTGCAATTCTGAAATTCTGAACTTCTGAATTTCTGAATTCCTGAATTCCTGAATTTCTAAATTTTCAAATTTCTGAATTTCTGAATCTCTGAGATTCTGCAATTCTGAAATTCTGAATTTCTGAATTTCGGATTTTCAGATTTTGAATTTCTGATTTCTGATATCCTGAATCCTGAATTTTTAAATTCTAGATTTCCAAATTTTTTCATTACTGAACTTCAGAATATCAGGAAATCCTGAATTTCTGACTTTTTGGTATTTCTGAATTCCAGATTTCTGAAATGTTGGATTTTTAGAATTCTTAGTTATTAAAATTCTGGAATTCTGGAATTCTAAGAATTGGAACTTTAGGATTCTGGGATTTCAAAATTATTCCTAAACTGACAACATATGAAATCCTGCAATGTTTTTTTTCTTTTTTATCGTCTTTTCATTTCTTTTGATCTCTAAACCCATCTGAATCTGTATAATAATTTGCATAACCAGTTTTGGAACGAAAAAAAAACAAAAAGATGAGAATCCATGAACATCTTCTTTTTTTCTTTATTTCTACAAAATGCTAAAATAGATGATTTTGGAATTTTCAAGTTTTTAGACCTTTAAAATTGTTCTGGAAACCCAGTTGGAACATTTTAGGATTAAGATGTATCTAGATTTTTCTTAAATTCTGGAAAATTGGCTTTTTCTAGAATTCCAATTCGTTTTCAGGATTAATAATCTCCTGTTTTTTCTCCTAAGTGACATAAGACCGTTTTTCTTGTTTATTTGTTTTATTGCGCAACTATCCAGTTCTCTTTTTGTTTTCTTTTTCCTCCCATTGGCAGGAAAAAAAGCTGGTGTTCGCGGCAGTCTTTTCGCCTTTTGATGAAACTGATTTGCTCGTTTTTTCTTGATAATTTGGGTAATTTATAAACTATTTTGATTTGATTTTGTTAATTAGAGCTACTTTTCGTAAGAACTTCCTAACTGGCCAATGGCGGCTCAACGGCGGCCTAACTACCCCTGTACTTTAAGCTCAATTATCTCGGCTCTGATTAAAGATATCAAGAAACTGTAAACTGATAAAATGTTTATCATAACATGAACAATATTTCATCAATTAGCAACCTTTTGATAGTTCTTATAATTGCCGAGATAATTGAGCTGAAATAGGGAGGGCTTCTATTAGAGCATTACGGTAGAATTTTCCTATTTTTTTTTAAATTTGAAAACATGTTAAACAACAATAGAGCTTCATTTTTGTAATTTCCAATTTCTTTGTAAAATTCTATGTCGATGAGATATGTGGTTTTAACCAAACAAGTGCTAGCTATGAAAAGAGAGTTACCGTATTTTCTCTGATAGAAGCTCACCCCAACCGTTAACTTTGAGCTCAATTATATCGATTTCTGTGAGAGATATAAAAAAGTTGTCGACTGATGAATTGTTTATCATAACATTACGAATATTTGATCAGTTGACAAAATTTTGATATCTCTTATAGGAATCGAGATAACTGAGCTCAAAATTGACGGTTTGGGTGGTCGGCTAACGTTTGGCCGTCGTTGAGCCGCTATTGACCAATCAGGATGGAAAAAGCGGCCCAAACTGTCAAAATTTTTTTTTACGGCTTTAGGGCTCAAAGTTGACAGTTTGGGTGGGCTTCTATTGGAGGAATACGGTATGCTCCTTTAAAACCGCCTATCCCAATTGGTTGGTTTTGCGCAAAAAAGTTGTCAATTACAAAAATAGAGCTCTATTTTTGTTTGATGTAGTCTGTAATTTTCAGACAATTCTCAAAATTTTAAGACATTTTTCAGACATTATAAATGTTCATCATTTTTGAGCTATAATTTTGGAAAAACCTCCTTTTTTTGCTTTTTTTTCGTCCGATTTTTCCCCAATTCTCCGTTTACCTCCTTCAAAAATAAACTACCGTAATCTGAAAACCTGACATCTTTTTTAAGCCATGTCAGCTGATTGTACTCAGCCGCTAGCGACAGAATCCGTTGACGTGGAAAACGGTGAGTTTGAGTTTGCTCAGGAAAGCAAAACAACAATGTTATTGTATTCTCTGCGTCTCTCACAAATAGAACACTATTTTTTCCTCCCTGATCCGTTAAATAAATTTAACCTAGTTTTTTTTTGCTCGGCAGGGAATAGGGGTTTAAGGAAGTCAGCTGACCCCTACGGTGTCCTTTAAAGAGATGATTTCATACTCAAATGTAGTTTAGAAAAACATTTCAGACAGTTTTTAACGTTTTTCGTCAAGCCCAAGCCTTAAATTGCGAGAAAAAAGAGCTTTCCAGACGTCTCCAGAGTGAAAATAGCCCAAAAATTCAAATTTCTCAGTATAAAAAACCTATTATCCCAACTTGACATCGAATTTTCCACTTACTGCTCCAAAGTCTATCCTCTTACCAGTTGCGCCATGCGGTCACTACGCGCCAAAGCGCCGGGGCGCGGCGCGTGCGGCGCGTGTGGCGCAGCCGGATAGAGGGGTGTGTTTGAAGCAGAAAGAGGAAAAGTTCGAAACCAAGTTGGGGTAATAGGTTTTTGATACCGTGAAATTTGAAAATCCGGGTTATTTTTAACCTAGAGGTGTCTGGAAAGCAGTTTTATCTTTTTTTTTTCATCAATATAGGTTTTCCAAGGCGTCAAATTTGAAAATTCTTTTGAGACCTCTGGAAGCCATCTTAACTACAATTTTGAGATCTCTGATCTTTGTTTTGGTTGAAAAAAGGTTTCATTCAACTTTTTTTCGGACAAACTTTCACTATTTGATTCCCAAAAAACTGACCACACCCAAGTATTTGTGTTATCACGAGATCCTCTTCTTTCCTCCCATCAGAAGAAGAAAAGAAGACGTTAAAAAGAAACACGTTCTTCCTTCTTGATTCAGCTGATTACCATTGTTCTTCCCGATTTTTTTTAGTTCTCCATGTTGCTACCAAAGTACAAGGATATTCCGAATCGGTTGCCAGTTCGGGACAATGAACCGGCGGGTAAAAAGTTTCAAAAAATGATAAAAATTTGAATTTTTCAGAATTTTTAGTTTCAAAAAATGTGTATGAAAATTCCAGTTATGGGTCCCAGTTTTTTAATTCTGTCGATTGTTTCAGGTACTGATTGGTTTGGTGATGATCGTGAATCGTTAAGCGATTTGGCCAAATTCTACAACTCACCACAGTTTAGCGATGTGAATTTGAAAATTGGCGAGGAGAGGTAAGCCTATTTTTCTGAAAATTAGTAATTTTTTGGCAAAAATGCAAGATTTTATTTTGAGATAGTTTCGAAAAAACTTTTAAAATGGGCCTTCTAGAAGCATTTTCGTTTGAAATTACCCAAAAATTCAAATTTCGCGTCATAAAAAACCTATTATCCCAACTTGGCTTCGAACTTTTCTCCATTCTGCTCCAAAGTCAATGCTCTTCCCGTCTGCGCCACACGGATTATGTGCACGAAACCGGCGTCGCGTCGCAGGAGAGTCCGCGTAGCGCAACCGGGTAGAGAGGTGCCTTCGGAGCAGAAAGGAGGAAAGTTCAATTCCAAGTTAGATGTATAGGTTTTTCTAGAGGTAAAATTCGAAAATCTAGATAGTTTTTCCTCTTAGAGACGTTTAGAAACCTTTCTTTTGGAGATTCATTGGTGTTTATTTGTTATATTGTGCTAATTACTGATTCAAAAGGCCCCCCTTTGTGTCAAACCCCTAAATTTGACTTCCCGACGTTTTTTTTTTCTAATTTTCAAATGCATTTTGAATAAAAAAGCATTTTAATGACTGTTTGACATAAAGCAACCCAAAAATTCAATATTTACAAAACCTATTACCCCAACTTGGCTTCGAACTTTTCCCACTTTCTGCTCCAAAGTCAATCCTCTCACCGACTGCGCCACACAGATCATGCGGTCACGACAAGATCGGCGCGTGCGCGTGGCGCAACCGGTAAGAGGATAGACTTTGGAGCAAAAAGGTCAAAAGTTCGATTCCAAGTTTGGTTTATAGGTTTTTCAGGGCGTGAAATTTAAAAATTTGGGTAATTTTAACCCTGGAGGAGTTTGGAAACCATTTTTTGTGAATTTTTTGGTTTTTAGTTCGTGGAGCTAAACCTCTTATTTCAATTTCCATAGCTGTTTTTCAAAAATTTCCCCTTGCAGTTTCCCCGCACACCGTCTGATCCTCTCAAAATCCAGCGATGTCTTCGATCGAATGCTCAGCCAACGATGGAATGGCGATAGGTTGGATTTACAGCTGACCGAGGACCCAATGTGTCAAATTGCGTTTTCCTCATTTCTTCGATTCTTATACTGCAATCATGTTGTCCTGCATCGTGACAACTGTTTACCGTTGTTGGTGCTCGCCGACAAGTACAATGTGACGACGCTGAAAAAAGTGGGTTTGAAAAAACAGAAAAGGGGTCTTGTTTGAGCTTTGGAAGCCAAAAATTAGGATTTCCTGTTTAGAAAACATATAAGTCGACCTATGTTAAGCCACACGGCTCACCGGCGGCTCTCCGGCGGCTCTTCAGCGGCCAAGTCTTATGTTTCTTGGTGGCCCGTCTGGTGGACCTCTGGCGGCTATACGGAGACTCTTTGGCGGCCGAAGGTCCTCCGACGGCTTTCTGGCGGCTCTTCGGCGGCCTAGTTCTTTCCGGTGGCTTTTCGGCCGCCAAACTTCCTCTGACGGCTTCCTGGCGGGTCTTTGGCGGCCGAATTCTATTTTAGGTTTCTCGAAAATTCAAATTCAGTTTTTTTCAAAGCTCCAACTTGAAAATAAATATTTCACCTCAAAAATCTCAAAATTTCCAGGTCTGCCTAGACTTTGCGCAGTCTGAAATTCTCCCGATCATCGATCTCAAGGAAATTTTCTCGGTTTGGTTTTCCTATGCCACAAAAGCTTATCATCCAAGCCTTATCAAGTCTTGTATGGAAGTTATAGCTCTGGATTTTGATGCTTTATTATCGGAAGAATGGGAAAAGGATTGGCAAGAACTGCATCGGGATCAGATGGTCGAGATTTTGAAGTGCAATGAGCTGCAGTTGGCTAGTAAGTTTACAGTACAAAAAGCGCATATCTCAAAACTAGGGAACCAAAGTCAAATTAATCTGTTGATAAAATGTGTAGAATTGAATTTTACACATTTCACTAGTTGTCAAAATTTTGATAACTTTTACACTTTTTTAGATATGCGAGTTCAAATTTGGCCTACTCTGAGATTTCTCTACTGGGCTCACCCTTGTCATTGTCAATTTTGAATGTCTAAAAAATCGATTAGTATTTGTCGAAAAAGTCTGAAAACTTTCAGATATACAAAACAAAAACAGAGCTTTAATTTTGTAGTTAACAACTTTTTCGTGAAACTTCATCCAAATGAGATATACGGCTTGAATCTGAATTCAGTGCTATTTCTGGAAATGTTGGACGAATTTCTACGAAAAAGTTGTCAATTACAAGTTTAACGCTCCGTTATTATTTAGTAAACCTGGAAATTTTTAGAAGGAGCTAAGGCATCAAAAGTTAGCATCAAAATTCAAATTTCACATTTAGAAAAACCTATTACCCCAGCATGGCCTCGAACTTTTCCCCTTTCTGCTCCAAATTCTATCCGCTTACCAGTTGCGCCATGCGGACGCGCTCCCCCGCCGTGCTCGCCCGCTTGTTACGTGTGGCGCAGTCGGGAAGAGCTTAGACTTTGAAGCCGAAAGGTGAAAGTTCGAGTCCAAGTTGGGGTATTAGGTTTTTAATGGCGCGAAATTTGAATTTTTGGATTGTTTTCAGCGTGAAGACGTCCAGAAAGCACCTTTTCTCTAGTTCAATTGAAAAGTGTCAAATTCATTCTGAAACAAGACATCTACATTTCCAGACGAATTCAAACTCTGGGAAGCGCTTCTCAAATGGATCCAGGCTCCGTCGCATTCTGAACGTCGTGGCAACACTGCTGGACCCCTCATGGCTCTGCTGCTTCCTCTAATCCGTTTTCCATTCATGACTGCTGATGAATTGAGTCAGGTCGAGAAGTCGAATGTCTCAGAATTGCATTCTAAACTTTTCCAACCTCCACTACTCTTGGCTTATAAGTTCCAAGCTCTTCCCTTGGCAAGTCGAATGACTGTGAAGTGAGATTTTTAATGTAAAATTTTACGCTGATGCTAATGGTCTAAAAATAAAAATTCTAGCTCAAAAACAAAACGAGATGTAGCCATTTTTCTAGATGGCATCCGCGCAGCTCAGTAGCAAAATCAATATTTTTGAAATGTTGATAAATTTCGAAAAATGATTTCTAGAGACTTCACCAAAAAGCAATTTCTGCTCCGAAAATATCGAGACATCCGGTGGGATCGACGAATCAATCTATCTAAGTCTCTGCTCTCTCAGCCCTGCAGGGATCATGCGTTTACTGTAAGTCCTATGATTATATGTGATCGAAAATCTAGGTTCTTATTTGAAAATTAGCTTTTCAGACATTTCTAATCCTCGGTTAACCGAAAATGTTGAATTCCGTGCCATAAAAACCCATTTTAAAGAGACTATTTCAAGAAAATGGTTTCTAAGCATCTCGAGGCTGGAAACAACCCAAAAATTCAAACATTACGCCCAGGAAAACCTATTACCCCAATTTGGAATTGAACTTTTCTCCATTCTGCTCCAAAGTCAATCCTCTCACCGACTGCGCCACACAGATCATGCGCGCGCGAGGGCTGCGCCGCAAGACAGTGACGACCGTGTGGCGCAGCCGGGAAGAGCGCAGACTTTGGAGCAGAAAGAGGAGAAGTTCGAGGCCAAGTTGGGGTAATAAGTTTTTCTGGGCGTAAAGTTTGAACTTTTGGGTCATCTTTAACCTGGGGACATTTGGAAAGTCCGAAACGATCTTCAAAATAGGCTTTTCTAGACGGCAAGTTCAAAATTTTAAGGATTTTTTACAGTTTGACACTCGATCCTCCACCTATCCCAACTCTGAATGGAAGTGGACTTTGAAACTTTCAGGTGCGCTTTTTCTTCGAAAATTCAAATTTTCACAAAAAAACCTTACAGGCCTCTCTGGATTGTCCTCAAATCCAGTGAAAAAGGATGTGCTCCGCGTTTTGATGATTGCCGAGGGAATGGATCAGTCGAGGTGATAAATGTTTTGGCTGAAATTCAGAAAACAATAAAAAATTCCAGATCCATCGAATATTTGTTCCAAATTGTCAACGAGAAAAATGTGCTTTTTTCAACGTCGGGAAAGAAGTCTTTCACGAAGACTAGGTAATTTTAAAAAAATTAAAATTTTGAAAAAAGTAGAAAAATTCCTAACTTTTCAAGTTGCGATTAGTTTTGCTGAAAACCTATTCAAAACACATTCTGAGATAACGAGCTTCAAAATGAGCCCCAACGCGGGTAGGTTCCGCCCACTTTGGTTTTTCCGGCGCCTCGCGGTCGTGCGTCGCGTGTCTAGGTGAAATTTCAAAATGGGCGGCCTAGTCGAGTTTCGGCTTGTTTTTTTGCTAATAATAAGCTCAAAACGATGAAAAACATTTGAAATCATAATTTTGACTAGTTTCAAGGATTTTTGGAAATTCCAAAAAAAAAAATTTGAAAAGTTTCAGATACTACTCCGAGCTGGAAATGGAGAAAAAGATCGAGTTCGACGAGTTGCTCAACGACGAATCCTTATATTCTTGTAATCGCGAATTCATTTTCCAAGTTTTGCTGAAACCGATCGATTGAGATTTTTGAAAATTTTGATCTGAAAATCGATAATTCCAAAAACTGATAATTTATCCTTTGTGTCTTTCATCACCGTCCCCATTCCTATCATAATCTGTGTTATCTCTTCAATTCTTCGAAACATATTGTTCCTGGATTACTGTATACTCTTTGACCTACATTAGGTTTTCTGTAAAATTTTCAATAAATAAATAAAAACTATATTTTTTTTCGATTAAATAATTTTTTTCGATTAAAATAATTAAATAATTTTTTTCGATTTTTCAGGTTTTCAAAATTTTCGCTGAAAATTATGTAAATAGATTCCACAGCATTTCTCAGAAATTTTAGATTTCTGAATTTCTGAATTTCTAAACTTCTGAAATTCTGAAAATTCTGAAATTCAGAAATTCAAAAATTCGGAAATTCAGAAATTCAGATTTTCAGAAATTCAGAAATTCAGAAATTAATGCAGGAATTCAGAAATTCAGAAATTTAGAAATTAATGCAGGAATTAAGAAATTCAGAAATTAATGCAGGAGTTCAGAAATTCAGAATTTCAGAAGTTCTGAAATTCCGAAAATCAGAAGTTCTGAAATTCCGAAATTCAGATATTCAGAAATTCAGAAATTAATGCAGGAATTCAGAAATTCAGAAATTCAGAAATTCAGAAATTCATAAATTCAGAAATTCAGAAATTCAGAAATTCAGAAATTCAGAAATTCAGAAATTCAGAAATTCAGAAATTCAGAAATTCAGAAATTCAGAAATTCAGAAATTCAGAAATTCAGAATTTCAGAAGTTCTGAAATTCCGAAAATCAGAAGTTCTGAAATTCCGAAATTCTGAAATTCAGAAATTCAGAAATTCAGAAATTCAGAAATTCAGATATTCAGAAATTCAGAAATTAATGCAGGAATTCAGAAATTCAGATTTTCAGAAATTCCGAAAATCAGAAGTTCTGAAATTCCGAAATTCAGAAATGCAGATATTCAGAAATTCAGAAATTAATGCAGGAATTCAGAAATTCAGAATTTCAGAAGTTCTGAAATTCCGAAAATCAGAAGTTCCGAAATTCCGAAATTCTGAAATTCAGAAGTTCTGAAATTCCGAAATTCTGAAATTCAAAAGTTCTGAAATTCCGAAATTCTGAAATTCAGAAGTTCTGAATTTCTGAATTTCTAAATTTCTAAATTTCTAAAAATTCTGATATTCTGAAGTTCGGAAATTTCCCAAAATAAAATAGTAGCAAAATGAAATGTTTCTGAATGGAAATACTTCCAAATTGAAACATTTACGGAACGAAAACTGTCCGAAAGCAGAAAAGGCGAAAGCGGAATTGTCCTGAAGTGGAATTGTCCCGTAGCGCTAACGCTAACAGCGTTCCAAAACGGGACAATTCCACTTTGGGCATTTCTGCTCCGTCCAGTTTCTACTTTCGGACAGTTCTGATTTCGCACAGTTTTCATTTTCGGAATCATTTTGATTTAGGAAAATTTCATTTTACTACAGTTTCATTCTAGGAAATCTCCAATCCGTCGTACCACCAAAGTTCCCAGATTCCGATTTTCGGAAATTCAGAAATTCAGAATTTCGGAATTTCAGAAATTCAAAAAAAAATGAAATTCTGAAATTCGGAAATCCTGAAACCCTGGTATTCTAAAATTCTGAAACTCTGAAACTCAAAAATTTTCGGAAATTCAACAATTCAGATGTATACAAACCAGCCATCTTCCGAACTCAAATGTTAAAGCATTTATTCAAATTGTACAGAAAAAAATGGTTTTTCTCAAAAACCCGAAAATCACAAAAAAATTTAAAAAACAAAGAGAAAATTCGAGATTTGTGTCAAAATATATAATACAATTCGCTAATTATGCACTGGTGTAGAGAATTTTTTTCGAAAAATTAATGACAAACTGAGAAATACAGTCATATGGCAATTTTGGGATGGGGGAGGAATGGCAAAAAATGAAGGATCCACTATAAGCACGTCTCTTTTTGAGCCACTTGCTCATCATTCTCATACTCCACTGGGTCGGGATTTTTATTATTATCGATACTTGGCTGGTTATAGTAACCGTTGGATGATCCTGGTTGGCTGATTGGCTGGTTGACGTAGTCGCCGTTTGATGGAGCAATTTCTAGAAGAAAAATAAGTTAGAAATTTGAATTTGGGAGGTTAAGAGCTTCAAAATGAGTATAAACAAGGCTATTTTTCAGAAAAGTGCTTTCTGGACATCTCCAGGGTGAACATAGGCCAAAAATTCGAATTCCGCACCTAAAAAAACCTATTCATCCAACTTGGCCTCGAACTTTTTCCCTTTCTGCTCCAAAGTCTATTCTCTAACCAGTTGCGCCACATGGAACAAGCGGGCAAGCACGGCGCTATGCAAAAATTGCTTTCCAAACGTCTCTATGGTAAAAGTAACCTGGATTTTCAAATTTTACGGTATCAAAAACCTATTAAATTCAGGTTGTTGGCCTCGAACTTTTCCTCTTCTTGCTCCAAACCCATCCCTCTACCCGGCTGCGCCATGCGCGCCACATTCGCAGCGCTTTGGCGCGTAGCTACCGCGTGGCACAACTGGTAAGAGGATAGACTTAGGAGCAGAAAGAGGAAAAGTTCGAGGCCAACTTGAGTGAATAGGTTTTTTATGGCGCGAAATTCAAATTTCCAGGTTGTTTTAGATCAAAAAGCCTTCAGAATGCATTTTTTGCACTTGCACTTTGATTTGTAGTCTTAAAAAAGTCTTTGGTCATACCAGTTTGCCCATCCTCCATTGTCACTGCAGTATAAACCACCGCCGACTGTTGTTGGACCTCTTTTGTTTTTGGAATCAGATAAGAATTGTCTTCCTCTGGAATACTACCGCCATCTGAAAGAAAAAGTTCGGCCATCATTGAATTTTCTAGGCCACCAAAAAAATACTTACAATCAAAAGGTTCTGTCTTATAACGAGACGAATTGACGGATTGCATTCGGCTTATCAAATCACCATTGGGTAACGTGAACTGCAAAAAATTAGGGATCTTGAAGTCTTGGAATTACTGTACACCTACCGTAGCCATTGAAGTCGGTGAGCTTGGAAGACTGGCCTGATCGAAATACGTTTGTGGATCGATATTTCCGTCGAAGATTTCTCGAAGCTGCTCGTTTTGGAAATGCTCATCGGCCGCCAAATCCGAATCGCTGATGCTGTTGGCATTCTCCAGAAACAGTGAAGGAACTTTACAGAATTCCTTAAACCTTTGATAGAGGGTGTCAAACGATGGACGAGCTTTTGGTTCGGCCATCCAGCAGCGGAGTAGCTCTTGATAGAGATCTGGCGAGCAGTTGGGCGGTTGGAAGAGGCGATTTCCGTCTGAAAATTGAATTCTAATGGATTTTTGATATGAAATAACCCAAAAATTCAAATTTCGCGCCATAAAAAACCTATTACTCCATATTGGCCTCGAACTATTCACCTTTCTGCTCCAAAGTTCCAGCTCTTCCCGACTGCGCTACAACGATCAGGCGGTGCTATGCGACACGAGCGCCCGCGTGACGCAATCGGTAAGAGGATAGACTCAGGAGCTGAAAGGGGAAAGTTCGAGTCCAAGTTGGGTTCATAGGTTTTTTTGGGGGTAAAATTCGAAAATCTGGGTTATTTTTCGCCTACAGAAGTTTAGAAAAGATTTTTGATTGAATGTTTCAGATATTAAGGTTAATTTTAGTCACTCTTTGAATATCGGCGTAAAAAAGTTTTTTTCGTGAACTTTTCAACCTATCTTTGAGAACAGAAAAAAACCTAAATAATCTCCAAAAGTGGACACACACACACACACACACACACACACACACACGCACACACACACACACACATAAAGATTGGCCTTATTGTGTTTTTAAAAAAAATTCCAGTCCTCTCACCTTTCAAAAAGCTATGTACACTATCCGTATTCATCCCGGAATAGGGGCTCTGTCCGAAAGTGATAATCTCCCAACAAGTAACACCGAACGCCCAAACATCCGATGCATACGTATAGCAGTGTTGTGCAAAAATCTCTATCGCCAACCATTTGATGGCCACTTTTCCGGATTTCACCGTTATGGAATCAGCGTCGTGCTTCAGAATTTTCGACAGCCCAAAGTCAGTGATCTCAACGTGATTGAATTTTTTGACCAAGACGTTTCGAGCGGCCAGGTCTCTATGAACAACTCTCTGCTCATGAAGATATCTCATTCCAGACGCAATCTGATAGCAATACAGAATCTGCTCTCTGGCCCCCAAAGTCTCTTTATGAAGCTGCAAAAAACTATGCAGGTCTCCAAGTGGTCGATAAATGGTGACAATTTTGAGGCCATCATCGTGGATACAAAATCCAATGATCTTCAAAAGATGCTCATGTCTTAGACGGAACATATTCGTTGCTTCCTGAGTCATCTCGTCCGTTTGCGATTGTCCCACTTGGAATATTTTGATTGCCACTGGAATTTTCACATTCTTGGCGCGTTTTGGATAGTAAATGCCAGCGAAGACGGTTCCAAATGCGCCGGATCCTAGCTTCTTTTCATGTTTGATTTGAAGTTCTGACGATGGAATCAGACAGATTCGATTCATGTTTGGGCGGACGTTATCGTCGATTGGCGTCAGCTCGGGTATCTCGATCATTTCGGCGATTTTCAGCTTGTGGCCCATTTTTTGGCAGCGCCAGTAGATTAGCTGGAAAAATAGAAAATTGGAATGTTTGCAAATTTTACAAAATTGGAAAAATGAGCCGTTTATTTGATCCTTACCGTAAAATCTCTTGAACCCAGACCGCCATCTTTGAGCCAACCTTACGGCTTTCTGACTTTTAACTTTGAGCTCAATTATCTCGGTTACTGTGAAAGATATCAAAAATTTGTCAACTAATAAAATGTTTATCATATTATCAGCAACGTTTCATCAGTGGACGGATTTTTGATATCTTTTACAGTAACCAAGATTTATGGATTCAAAATTGACAGTTAGAATTCCTATTTATGTCAAACGGATAGGCTAGATTTCAGGGCTCATAACTCCGGGCTCAGTTCACCGATTATTTAATATTGATTTTTAGATTTGGCAGGTTTTGTAGATCAAAAACATACTGATAATATGATTGACAATCTATGAGTTATGAAATGTTTCATATCTCTCATAGGAACAGAGATAATTAAGCTCACGGTTGACAGTTAGCGGGCCCTTATCTCCAAGTGATAGGATAGCTTTCAGAGCTCATAACTCCCGGCCTAGTTTACCGATATTTTTGAAGTTTTAATTTTTGGATTTGGCAGGTTTAGTAGATTAAAATCATATTAAATTTTACTTGTCGACTTCAAAACTAGCAAAAAGTGAGCCTAAAATCTAGAGCTACTTCTGGGACCCTAGCTCTTAAAGGATCATACCGGGAAGTCAACATAACTCGGTTCCTGTGAGAGATATCGAAAATTTGTTAAATAATAAAATATTGGTGATAATGTGATAAATATTTTATCAGTTGCCAAAATTTTGATATCTTTAACGGAAATTGAGATAATTGAGCTCAAAGTTGGTTGCCAGCTAGGTGCGATTCTATTAGAGCGTGCTTAGAAAAGTGTTGAAAATTCAGCAAGTTCTGGCTAGAAATTTATATTTTCAAGTTTTTTTTCAAAAATATAATTTCAAAAAAAAAGTATAAATACTGTTTGTTAGATAAAAAACTAAAAACTCGAAATTCTGAAAATTTTGAATTTTTGAATATTCAAAAAAAAATCAATTTTTTCCCTTCCAATTACTCACCATAATGAACAAGAACATAATCGCGAATCCCATGAAAACGCATACAATAATTATAATTCTTGTTTTCTTCTGCCTTCCAGCGATATCGTAATCTAGGCACTCTTTGTTTGATGGGTTGGAGTACGGTAGGTAGTCCGGACATTCAGCGACGCATTCCTAGAATTGTATATAGGTCGGTTTTCTGTTTAAATGCATGATCAATCTAGATTCAGCTTGACAAGGGCTTCAAAATGAGTATGAACATGGTCATGTTTGGAGAATTTTGAAATTTCGGGTCCCACCACAGGTGATTCGCGAACAATCCGTTACGGACGCCCCGCGTTCGCGCGCGGTTGAAAAAAANACAAATGGAGCATAGAATAGGAGGGGGATTATGGGGCTACTCAACCGTACATAAATATTATTGTTTTTAAAGAGAAAAGAAGAGAAATTTCTCGTTTCCGCTTCCAAAATGGTGGGAGGGGACAAATGATTTGGATATGACTTTACTTTGCGGTCGTGTTTGAAC